GGTCGCCCTGGGCCTTGCCCTACACAGTGCACCTCTATTCTCCCGGCAGTCCATGTCACTTGTTACACTTCTGCTCAATTATGCACCCTCCATGGTCAAACCTACTATACTGCTATTTTAGAAAGAACCTCTCCGCGTCCCTCTGGCAGTGTTTTCGAGAGAGATCTTAAATATTCTCAGGCATCCTGTCTAGGTACTGTTGGCAAAAGTGTGTGCTGGCATACCGTTGCCCCGGTTCATGTATCAGATGGAGGGGGCCCCAGCGACATTCAAAAACAAACTCTTGTTGCCCAACACATCCAAGAACTGACCTGACAGTTATACCCTCACTTAGACTACCACCCACTCGCCCTTCCAAAACCCAGAGACATTACCTTGGATCCATACACACAGGGAATCCTCGAAGTCTCTCTCTCTCTATTAAACTCCACTAACCCCTCCCTTGCACAGGACTGCTGGCTATGTATAACCATTGGTATGCCTCTACCTACTGCCATTCCTATGTCCCTTTCAATGGAGATGCCAATTGCTCATTATCACCCCCCTTTCAGAGTACAGCCCTCGGGTTTCAATTCCTCCGGTTGCTTCCAAGGGAAATTTCAAAATAATTCTTATGATAGTGACGTCGGATTTGTCACCTTTTCCGATTGTCATACTGTAACTAACGTTTCCACCTCCATCTGCCCCCCTCCAGGACAAGTTTTCATTTGTGGAGGCAACCTTGCCTACACCATGCTCCCTTTCAATTGGACAGGCCTCTGCGTTACAGCTAGCCTTCTCCCCGACATCTCTATCATCCCCGGGGATGAACCTGTCCCTCTCCCTAGTCTTGACCTTATAGCGGGATGCCACTGGCGTGCTCTCCAAGCCATTCCCCTACTTCTAAGCTTGGGGGTTACAACCGCTGTAGCCTCCGGCGGAGCGGGGATAGGGGTCGCTGTTAATACCTATAATAAGTTGTCTCGTCAGTTAATTGATGATGTTCAAACTCTCTCTGGAACTATTAATGATCTACAAGATCAAATTGATTCTTTAGCTGAGGTAGTTCTACAAAATCACAGAGGATTAGACCTATTAACTGCAGAACAGGAAGGAATCTGTTTAGCTTTACAGGAACGAGGCTGTTTCTACGCCAACAAGTCTGGCATCGTCCGAGACAAAATCAAGAAATTACAAGAAGACCTCATCAAGCGAAGAAAAGAATTGTTCGAGAACCCGCTTTGGACCGGACTTAATGGACTCCCCCCTTACCTTCTCCCTGTCTTGGGCCCCCTCTTTTGCCTCCTTTTGCTCATAACCTTCGGTCCCTGGGTGTTTCGCCATTTTACTAATCTTATCAAAAGACAAATTGATGCTGTCCTCTCTAAACCTATCCAAATCCATTACCAACGGCTGGCATTGGCAGAAGGCACGGAAAAGGACTACTACGGCTCCCTCCCTACGGGGACGACATGATAACCAGAGGCATGTCTACCCTCTCCCTTTAAGGGGAACAGGGTGTGAGCACCGGGATGAGTGTAGAACAATGTATTGCAAGGGAAGGTCTCAAAAACTTCGACCTCCTCTGGGTATCCCTGTGAGCACGCCTGGCTTGCATAGAGGTTGGTATCTAATTTTCTAATTTTCTCAAAAATCAATTCTGGCTCTGCCTCTCGTCCCCAAAAGATACCAAGAGCCAATGGTGGTGGACTCGGAGAATCCACGGGAGGAGCCGGGCCCCTACTCCCTCACCCAGTTAATGCTCACCATCCCTTCTGACTTTGAACAGAAAGGGAGGAGATGTTGGGAGCCATTTTAAAAATAGCAATCATCTTATATAAGCCTTCTTCTTTGTCCTCCGAAAAGCCCGCGCGCGCCAAGGCACAACACCCCTCCCACCTCCTCTCCTCATACCACCCACTACTCTTCCTCCTATCATAAGCCGCCACACGCCCTATTTCAGCCCGCCCCTCTTTGCTATGTATATAAGCAATCGCCTAACAATAAAATTTGGAGGCTTGATCAGAACACTGTCTTGCCTCCATTCTGCGTGTCTCCTGTCTCTTTCTCTCTTGGTCTCTCTCTCTCTTTTCACCAGCAGCAGGTAGTCCTCCTCGTGCCCACGTTTTACTTGTCCCGCTGGTCGGGACACTTTTCCAGCTTCCTTAGGTGATTTGTTAGGCTGTTAACTTGTGATCTTACCATTTTCCTCATGTGTGATTGTAGAGATATGAATTTCCCTCTTAGGACTGATTTCATGGCATCCCAGAGATTTTGGTAAGATGTTTCTTTGTTTTCATTTGTTTCCAGGTATCTTTTAATCTCTGTTTTGATGTCCATGTTGACCCAGGAGTTGTTTAGCATCATGCTGCTTAGTGTCTATGTCTTTGTGGGTTTTGGGGGAACTTTGTTAGTGCTGACAATTATTTTTATTCCACTGTGGTCTGAGAAGTTGCATGGCAGGATTTCGGTCTTATGGAATTTGTTTATTCTTGATTTATGGCCAAGGATGTGGTCAATCTTAGAGTATGTTGAATGTGGTGATGAGTAGAATATATATTCCATGGTTGTTGGGTGGAGTGCTCTGTAGGTATCAATTAAGTCCATTTGGTCAAGCATCACATTGAGGTTCTGGATCTCCTTGTTGACTTTTTGTCTTAATGATCTAGGGTTGTTAGTGGGGTGTTTAAGTCCCCAGCTATGACAGTGTTAGAGTTAATATCCTTTTTAAGTTTACCTAGAATCTGCTTTATGAAAGTTGGTGCTCCTATTTTGGGTGCATATATGTTTAGGATAGATATTTCTTATTGACAGATTGAACCTTTTATCATTATGTAGTGAACTTCCATATCTTTTTAAATTTTTGGTAGCTTATAGGGTACTTTTTCTGATATTAAGATTGTGACTCCTGCTTTCTTTTGTGTTCTGTTCACCTGAAATTTTGTTTCCCATCCTCTTATTTTGAGTCTGTGAGTGTACTTTCTGGTGAGATGAGTCTCTTGGAGACAATATATTGCAGCCTCATGATATTTTATCCAATTTGCCATTCTATGTCTTTTCAGTGGTGCATTTAGTCCATTCACATTCAGGATAATTATTGAAATGTGAAAGTTTATCCCTGTTGTGAGGTTCTTATAGAGTTTGTTGTTGCTGCTGCTGTTTGTCTATTTGTTTGTTGCCTTTTTTTGATTTTGGGGTTGATTCATATGTGTTTTTAATCTTTTTCCTGCATTCTTGTGAAAGGCATTGTCATTCTTTTTTCCTTTCTTCTGTGTTTAGTACTTACTTAAGTGTTTCTTGTAGAACTGGTCTGGAGGCAGCATAAACTCCTAGGGCTTGAATATCTGGGAAGGATTTAAATTCTCCATCACTGATGAAACTTACCTAAGCTGGGTAGATAATTCTTAGTTGAACTTGTTTATCTTTGAGAACTTTGAAGATTGGACTCCAAGCTTTCCTAGTCTGAAGTGTTTCTGTAGATAAGTCTGATACTCTTCTAATTGGTCTTTCCCAGTAGTAGTCTGAGCTTTCTCTCTTGCTGTCTTTAGGATTTTTTTCTCTTAAACCTACTCTGTGTAGGTGAATCACTATGTTTCTGGGAGTTGGTCTTCTCACTTGTTGTCTTGCAGGAGTTCTCTGAATCTTTTGTGTTTGAATGGTCTTGTCTCTGATGAGATGAGGGAAGTTTTCTTGTATAATTTCATGAAATGTTTGTGTCAGGGTGGTCTCTGACTCTCTATCTGCCTCAGGGATTCCAATTAATCTTAGGTTCGGCCTCTTGAAATAATTGCTTACTTGCCTGTTTTGTTCTGTCTATTTAAGCTTCTTTTCTATGTCTTTAACAGTTTGAATAAGTTCCAAATGTTGGTCCTCAAGCTCTGAGATTCTTTCTATTGCTTGGTTAATTCTGTTTTCCATGCTTATCATTTGTTGTTTATTTCATTCACTGTATTCTTTATTGCTGTTATCTCAGTTATCAATGCCTTCATTCTTTCCTCTTGTCTCTCCTCAATTCTATTTATTCTCTCTCTTAATATCTTGCTATCTGGGTTTGTGGTTTGAGACCAGTCATTCTGGGGGCTCTTCATTGTTTGAGTAATGGAGTCGGTACTCTCAGTGGCTGAGCTCCCAGGGGTCTTTGTGAGACTCATAGTCTTCCTTTGGTTTTTCTTCTTTTGTGTAGATTTTCCTTTTTTTTTTTTTTTGCCTCTTCTTTAATTCTGTTGTCAGTAATGGGGGATAGTTTTTATTTCTGTTTACTTAATTTCCTGTTTTTCCTTATGTAGATCCTCTGGTTTTGTTCAATTCTGAAGTTGGACTGGGGGTAGGGGCCTCTGTTTATTGCAGTTTTGAAATTTATTTGAGGGGGGAGCTGTGATTCAGAAGCTCTCTGCAGATCCCAGTACCTGCTGACAGGTGTGTGGACCCCCTAGATCCCACTTCCCACTGCCTCACAGTCTGTCCATGCAGTGAGGGTGTCTGTTTGCCCCATGAAAGCAGAATGAGATAAGAAAAGGAAAAAGAATGGAAAAAGGAAAGAGGAAGACAAAAGGGAGGTGGAGAGAGAGAAGAAGAAGAGGGAAAGCAGACAGGTGTACCAACTAACAAATAAACAGGGAGACAAACAAAGATAGAAGAAACAAAAAAGATTAAAACATACAGACAATCATATGAACAAACAAAAACCCCTCTGTTGGTGCACTGTCCCTCAAAAATACGCATACATAAACAGAAAATCTTAAAAAAAAATTTTAATAACAGAAACAAGGCAAGTATAAAAACATAAACACAAACAGAAAAAAAGAGAGCAGAAAAAAAAAAGCTAAAATTCATACAAATATAAATAAGAAGGAGGGATAAAAAAAAAGAACTCGCTTTCTGTTTTCTGTGAGTCCAAATTCCTTTCAGGCCTCTGCCTTAGGGAGTGGCTCTGGTCTCCAGTCCCTCCCCTCCACTCTCAGTGCTGGCCAATAGGATTGCTCTCAGCATGGATCAGATGCCCCATAGACTACTGTAGGAGGAGCTACTAGAAGATTTTTAACACCCATTTCTCAGTAGTTGATAGAAAAAATTTTGATAAATACATAAGTGATCTAAAGCTGATTGTTACTTATGGAGCACTACACCTAACATCTGAACAACAGACATTCTTTCTAATACATATAGTTTTAAGATAGAACATATATGATGGGCTATACAAATTAAACAACACTTTTAAATAACCCATGGGTCAATGAAAACATTATAAAGAGAATAAAAGATTTTGAATTCCTGATTCTGACATTTAAAATATGGATGACCCTGGAAACTGGTTTCTGTGGCCAAGTACCAGTTTCTTCATCAATAAAGTGGAGACAGTAACCCTCATAGAGTTATCATGAACATTAAATTAAATAACATATGTAAAACACTTAGCACAACTCCCGGCATAATAATAATGATCCTTAATGTCATTGTCCATAACTGTAAGCCATCACTGAGGATGTGTGGGTAACCCTATAGGATCTCCCCCCATTTCTATCATTCTGCCTTTGAATGCTTCCCAAGGAGACCAACCTGTAGCATTTCAATCTTTATATCTCTTTGTGATATGTTTTCCCATCCAATCTGGTGTCATTTTTATCTCCTTACCATACAACATTTTGAGAGTTAGGAAATTTATGTAAACATACAAGAGACTTGTGTATTACTTGAACACATGTCTTGAGTTGAAGATGATGCTTCTATATATTCCTAGGACCTCATCTAGCCTGGGTTTCTGATTGTCCTTAGTGCAATTGTTTTTGTTTTGTTTGTTTGGTTTTTTTTTTTGAGTTAGAGTATCACTCTGTCACCCAGGCTAGAGTGCAGTGGCACACTCATGGCCACCACAGCCTCGACCTGCTGGGCTCATCGATCCTTCCACCTGAGCCTTCCAAGTAGCTGGAACTACAGGCGTGTGCCACCACACCCAGCTAATTTTTTGATTTCTTGTAGAGACGAGGTCTCACCAGGTTGCCCAGGCTGCTCTCGAACCCTTGGACTCAAGCAATCCTCTCACCTCAGCCTCCCAAAGTGCTGGGATTCCAGGCTTAAGCCACCATGCCCGGCCTAGTGCAACTGTTGATGAGATGCCAGTAGCCCATCTCCTGAAACTTGTAATTGGAGACTTGGCATTCATCACACTGGCCTCTCATTTCTCAGATATCAGAAAGCAATTTGGAATACGAGGAACCTTTATCTCTTCTATTTTTCTTCCAAACTAATTGTACAAACTCAGCAATAATTTTCATGTGTCTGTTTCTTAAAGTATCTCACTTTAAACACATGTCGTCATAACTACCTCACAAGAACACTGGTGTCTAATTAATTATTGTTAGTCAAAAGCTCTAGGCTCTTCAACTGGAAAGGGGACTGTGGACGTACACTGTATTATCTCGGAGAACCCCGCGTCTTGCTGTATTGAATGAAGCAAGTGTCTGTGTATAATCAAATTAACCACACTGCCAGGGGCTTACGCTGTAATTAATGAAACTCATGCAGACTAAATGAAATGATCAGTCTATCATTTTTAGATTGAATAATTAAGTCTGAAGAGCTTCAGTGCTTTTTCCAGTGGTTTCTTTATTCAGATGACTATTGACATTTCAGCTCTCAGCCTCACTTTATTGTGTCAATTAGCTTTGTGTCGATTTATCTCATGTCATGCAGAATTCATTATATAATTTGAAAAATACTGGATCTTCACAAAATTTATGTTTTAAAAAGAACTAAAGCCTACCTGAGAAACAAACTCAATGTAATGAAAAGGAAAGAGAAATGGTACACACTTTATTAAGGGCTGCGATGTGTCAGGTACTGCATGGGCACCTAACATACAGGATCTCATTTAATTTACCCCAGCTACACAGTGAAGCTGGTATAATCCTCATTTGATGGGAAGGAACAAGCTCAGGCAAGGACAAAAAATGATTGAAAGTCACAAGTGAGCAAGTGGCAGTGCCAGTATTTGAAGTCAAGCCTCTCTGATTCCAAAGCTCACACTCTTTCCATGAGTAGTAGAGGCCTGTGTCCATGCAGTATACAAGAAAGTGGTTATTCTAGCCATAAGGACACATACATACCTTCAGCGTCTTGTTGTGTCTCTGCAGCTCCCGGCACAGACTCTCCAGTTTGCTTCGAGCAAGGATGGCTCTGCTGTGTTCACTTTGTAACTGGTCCTTTTCTTTTTGGACTTGTGCCTGTTTCTTTTGTAGGAGCTTTAACTTCTTTTGCTCAGTGCGATGTTCATCCAGCTAGATATGGGGGTGCAAATGTGAAAGAAAATGACGGGAATCTCTTTGGAGTTGACAAAAGGAGAACAAAACCTAGAGATCACTCTCTGGTTGTCTGGAAACATCTTTTTACTATTGTCTGGCCCTCTGGAAGCAAATGAGCTTCACAGATGTGACTTTTGTAGCATTTATAGTTTTTAGAGCATAACATTGATAAGTTTATTATTATTTACTTTTCTTTCTTTGATCTTTTTTTCCCTTCATTCTAACAGTGCCAGCCAATATCGAAAGGCATGTGTCAGAATCCATAAACTGCCAGAATTCATGACAAGGGCTGGCATTGAGGCAGTGGTCCACAGTTTGTCTGCTCAGGTGACATTTAGTTCTTGGAATTCTTTATCAAAATAAACTTATAGTACTATTTTTTTTTAATAGAAAAGAGAAAATCAACTTCTTGGTAAACAGAAGATGAAGAACTCTTCTTTATAATTTTGGACTCTGGGTGCAGACTGCTGCTGGGTGAGGGAAAGGAGGAGAAGAGGAAGTCCCCTTCCACTACCTACACATCGATGGTTTTTCACCAAAGCACAAGACACAGTCACTGCACAACTCAATAGCAAGAAGAGCCAATATATATATATATATATAAATTTTTTTTTTTTTTTTGAGTTGGAGTCTCACTCTGTCGTCCAGACTGGAGTGCAGTGGCCGCTCCCAGCCACCGCAGCCTCGACCTGCTGGGCTCCAGCAATCCTTCCGCTTCAGCCTTCCGAGTAGCCGGAATTACAGGCGCGCGCTACCACGCCCGGCTGATTTTTTTTGATTTATTGTAGAGATGAGGTCTCGCTGCCCACGCAGGTCTCGAACCCGTGGGCTCAGGCAATCCACTCACCTCAGCCTCCCAAAGGCGCGGGATTACAGGCTGAGCCACCGAGCCCAACTAAGAGCCAATATTTTTAACATGCCCTGCTCTCACCCACCCCACACCCTCTGTGCATACAGCGAATCAATCACAGCTCTGGTTTCTCATACTCCTTTAGTACCCGTGACTCAGGGCTATGTCAGGACTGGCGTGGAACAGAAAACCCACTTCCTACGGTACTTCCACTTCGGGATGCCAAAGTTCTAGGATAGGGTTGCCAGATAAAATACAGGATCCTTGTTACATTTAAATTTCAGGTAAATAAGAAATACCTTTTTAGCGTAGCTCAAATATTTCATTGGACATCTGTTTACCAAAAAATGATTTGTTACTTACCTGAAATGTAAACTTAGGTAATACATGGTAAGGTGTTAAATCTGGTAATATTATTATGGAGTTCTAGACCTGGTAGAGGGAGTGCGGAAATTAACCTCAGAAGCCCCCAGAGAGAGACTAGCAGACTCTAGGAGTGTCGATCTCAGACTGACCATTCGAGCATGGCCACATTCGAGCAGCCGCAGCCTTTGCTTAGAGCCATTTCCTCCGCCGGACTCAGCTCCCTCAGTGCCTGCACGGTCCCTAAACCAGGTAGGTTCTAGTCTTCACCATGGCCTTGTTAGGGAATGGAAAGGAAAAGCTCTGGGGAGCCCCTGGATGCTTCTGCACCCAGGTGTTACTGGTGCCTCAGAGAAACTGACACAAACAGATACATGTCACATGAGCCCTGACACATGCCTCGATTTCCCCATTTTGAAAAAACATTTGCTCTTTCTGAGCTAGATAAATGGAACTGTCTCACTTTCCTCAGTTCACATCTTATTTTACTCCTTCCTCCTTCCCTCCTGCCACATGAAATAAACACTATAAACCCTTGCTAGATTAAGCTAAGGATATGTACAGATAATACTCTATCTTCATATTCTTTTGTAGCTATTAGTGCAAATTTGCACTGGAGAAAACAAGACCCATATTACTAAAAATATTGATTGTATTTCATATCCTCTGTGGAAAAAAATCAATGATATTTTATTATATATTTTTCATACTGAACCCCTGTTCATAGGACAGCTGTGTTCCTTTCATTTTGCATAGTTAGTATATAGGGGTGAAATTTATCATTCTATTGTTTGAATTTTAGATGACCTATTACCCTTTCTTAAAATGTGTACATTGTTATTGTTATTGACATTCTGGTTTACATTTTATCTTTTGAAGATTAAGCCATATGTCAGGGCTTCTCCACCTCAGCACTGATTTATGTGGCTTATCTGAGTGTCGTCAGGAAGAACACACCCTACATGTATCTTATAAGTTGGAGGAGAGAGTGTTTTTTATTGACCATTTAATAGTTAAGTTTTACCACAAGATCATGCAAATTTAGAATTTAGTTAGGTCTATCTTTCTTTGTTCTAAAGTAAAAATCTTTGCCAGGCAAAGTGGCTCAGGCCTGTAATCCCAACACTTTGGGAGGTGGAGGCTAGAGGATTGCCTGAGTATGAGTCTCGAGATCAGCCTGGGCAACTTGGCAAGACCTCGTCTCTACAATAAATCAAAAATTAGCTGGGTGTGGTGGCACAGCCTGAGATTTCAGCAACTTGGAAAGCTGAGGTGGAAGGATCGCCAGAGCCCAGCAGGTTGAGCCCAGCAGGTAGAGGCTGCGGTGTCCCTGAGTGTGCCACTGCATTCCAGCCTGGGTGACAGAGTGAGACTGTGACTCAAAAACAAAACAAAAAACAAACAAAAATTTCTGACTTTAATTTAAATTTCTGATTTCTTTAGTGTGTGAAAACTTTTGTTCAAATACTTCAGACTTAATGTGAATGCATATGAATGCATGGAGTTTCTTTTTTTTTTTTTTTGAGTTGGAGTCTCACTCCATCACCTAGGTTGGAGTGTAGTGGCATGCTCACGGCCACCCCCCCCATCAACCTGTTGGGCTCTGGCAATCCTTCCACCTCAACGTTCCAAATAACGGGAACTACAGGTGTGTGCTACTGTGCCTGGTTAATTTTTTAAAAATTGTTTTTATTGTAGAGACCAGGTCTTGCCAAGTTGCCTGGGCTGGTCTCGAACCCATGGGCTTAGGCAATCCACTTGCCTCAGCCTCCCAAAGTGCTGGGATTACAGGCTGAGCCACAGAGCACAGCCAACATGGAGTTTCTTAATGATGAAAGTAAACATATCTCAACTAAGTCAACATCAGTCAAAGACTGGCTTTGTGATTTAACTTCAGCACAATTCTTCTGTGCAATTGTAACAGGCACATAGAATTTTTATCTGCAGTTTCTCTCGTTCTTGCTCTCTCCTTTAACTAAGTTAAAAAGTAAAACGAATGTCAAGTATTAATTTAAAATTGTATGATGATGTTATTTTAACCACTAAAATTTGAGGAAATTTGCAAAAAATATTTCTCCTCAGCCCTTGCTTAATTTAGTCATGAAGTGTCCTTATTTATTAATGAACTTATTCTCATTTATTAATGAATACAATGGCCGATAATATTACAGGATTCAGACTCTGCGAGGATGAGTGAGTGAAAATGGCAGTTTGATTCACAGCTTTGAATTCGATGATTTATCCCATGTGAACACTTATATTTCAGACTTTTCTATATTAATATCCAAATCAGTGAGCAAGGAAATGGGCTTTAGTCTCCAAGTAAAAAATTGGAATTCCTCATAATTTTTCTTTTCTGAAAAGGAAATATAATGGGTTTGGGGGATCAATTTTCTCTTATTCATTTTTTATGTAATAATCTTTTGAGTTTGAAAGTTTATTATAGAGAATGATACAAATGCCAAAGTATAGAAAGTAAAACTTGAGCAGGGTGTCTAGAAAAATAACCTCTGTGGAGGTGACTGCTTGGCTAGGAGGGGGTGTAGATGGCGGGAGCCCTGCCCATGGAGAGAATCAGCCTGCAAAAGTGACTATTCTCCAATGTTCTGCTGTGAGAATGGCTTTCTGTGCTAGTCCAACATGCTGCCCAGTACAGCCAAGTATAGAACTGGCAGTGGAAATGAGGCATGAATGGCTTTGGTATGAGTTGGTAAATTGAAAGGACAAAGGAAATACCATATGGAATATACTAAAAAGGGCAAGGCTAGATAGGCAACAGCAGGATGAGAAGGTGATTGTGGGGATTAAATCTGGGAGGGGAAATGCTATTTTTGACACCTAACTTATTTTGTAGTATTGAAATTGTTAATAGCCAATGCTATACAGGTTGCAATAAAACTGATACACTGATACTTGCTTTGCAAATTTCTATCATTCTTTCATAAAGTAATAGGGCCACAAAGTTTAAAAACCAAAAAGCACTCAAACTGTTTGATTTAGTAATCCCAAGCTGTGACTGTTTCCTTAAAATCATAAAAAAAGAGAAGGAGAAGGCACACATCTGATGCATGATGATGTTCTTTGCAGCAATATTTGGTAAAGCAAAACAGTAGGAGGAACATAAATGTCTTCAAATTAGTGAATTGGTAGATACAGTAACTTAATGGAATATGACACAACTTTTACGAAATATGATTACGAAGACTATAAATCACATGGGGGAACGTCTGTCATATGAGTCAAGAAATCCAGATACCAACTTTTATGTACCTCATGACTGTAATTATAACAAAAAGTATCTCTGCATATATAGCAGGATTGGAAGAGAACACACATGAGCGGTTTCTGATTTAGATGATGGAATTAGAGACATTTTTGTTTGTTTTGTGTATTTAGCATTCCCATACTTGGTTTGAACGGTTAAAAAGTAGTTCACAAGTACTGTTGGCAGAGTTAAGCGATCAGCCAGTCACTTTACGTTTCAGAATTTTTCTGGGTCTATTGCATGACAATTCAGTCTAACAGTGTAACAGTGCAGCAAGGTAGAAGGGAGGGAAGAACAAATAAAGATGATAGGACTAAAGTCAGAGAGAAGAATAAAGAAGACAAGTTATGTCCTCCTGCAATAGAGATCAAGGGTTTGTGGGCCTGAAGCTTATTTAGTTTTGAAGCCCCAGATCAGGATGTGGCATGAACTAACGAGGGGTGGCATTGACCCGATAATCCATTCTTGTTACTCTCACCTGTAATCTTCATAATCAAAAGATTTTGTGCATCAAAAAATACTAACTTTATGGAAGAATAAATCTTTAAAAAAAAATAAATCGTAAGAAAAGAGAATTAGGTAAAGGGTCTCAGAGTGACCCATGCAAGTGACAGGCCCCAAGGTTTAAGCTTCTTTAGCTGCAATGGTAAATCTGCGTTTGGGACAGTTCAACCTACTGCCTGGAGGAACTTTTTTGTGATGTGCAGTCTCAAGTTTCATTCTCCTGTCACTCCTTCTCCAAAAGAAATAAGTGGGAGTATTTTTAAAGAAAAGAAGGCTGGGCGTGGTGGCTCAACCTATAATTCCAGCTCTTTGGGAGACTGAGGCAAGAGGATTGCCTGAGCCCGGGGGTTCGAGACCAGCCTGGGCAACTTGGTGAGACCTCGTCTCTACAATAAATCATAAAAAAAGACCTAGCCGGGCATGGTGGCGAGCCTCTGTAGTTTCAGCTACTTGGAAGGCTGAGGAGGAAAGATCGCCTAAGCCCAGTAGGTGGAGGCTGCAGTGACCGTGAGCATGCCACTACACTCCAGCCTGGGTGACAAGAGTGAGACTCCTACTCAAAAAAAGAAAAGAAGCAGAAATAAAAGAGATGGTCATTGACCAGGATGCCACATCTCTGTTGTGGTTCATGGTCTACAGGGGTGGTGTGCAGGCCTCAGACGACCCTGCTGTTGTCAATCAGTCTCAGATCAGCAGGGATTTATGGGAGTGCATCAAAGCTAGAGATGCTGGCCTCACTGATCCTCCTCTGCTCTTCAACTGGCCCCAACCAGAGTACTGGTGAGGAGACAATCTCCTTCAAGGCTTCTCTGATGATTGGGAGTGGCTAACCTTGCTTCTGGTGGTCCCGGCTTATTGAGAAGGAGGTTGCATGAAAGTACCTAGAACCGGGCACAAAGGAACCCACATGGAGCACGTTGCCATTGTAGGCAAGGGGGAGAAGAATGTAGATCAAAGAGAATAAATACATGAATGGACCAGACCAGGAAGTGCCAGGGACTGAGGGGTGGCACTGACTCAAGCCCCCGCCTTCCTCCCTCTGTCCCCTAAAAAAACCTGGGTACAAGAATTGAAGATTTGTTTATCTCTATGTTGAGTGTATTTCTGTTTTTCTTGCAAAGCTTAAAAGAACCTTAAAATACCCACAAGTTTCAACCATCTATACTCTATTCTCCCATCTCTGCTATTATGTAATTGAAGGTGGGCCAGACTCCAGATCTATCCTTTTTCTTCCACTTGCTGTTATTTCTCAATTCCTCTTTTCCTTTTTTTTCCCTTTCCTTAAGAAATTATTTTTTAATGAATTCTAGTCTTGGCTTGTTTGAGGTTACCAACCATGGTTTATAATGAAGTACATGAAAAATGAAATCTCCCTTTCTCAACTCTGACCAGGGCCGAATCTTTCTGACAAAAGAAGCGAATCAAAGGTCTTACCAGTTCGGCGTACTTCTTGAATAAAAAGTCAAGCTTTTCTTCAGGTGTTTGCAACTTGTTCAGATTTTGCATGAGCAGGTTGGCTTCTTTGCCTTAAAAGAAGAAAGACATTAAAATAAATGAGCCTAGAATTTGCAGTCAGGAGACAAGGACTGGAATCTCAGACTGTCCAACTTGCTAATTACTCCCAACCTTGGCCAAGCCACTAACCTATCAGGTTTCATTTTCTTTTACTTTTCTTTCTTTTTTTTTTTTTTTTAATAAAAATATGTCATTTGCCTTACAGAGTGAGGGTCAGCTGGGAAGTTTGTGAAAATGGGTGGTACATTGTGAAGTTCATGGCAGACACCCAAAAGATATCTGCTCTGTCACTAGTCCCCAAATATTCACTCCAATAATCTATTATTACTCCTCCTGTATTCTTTATAATCAAAATACTTCATGCATCAAAAATACTGACTTTATGAAGGAGAAAATCACCAATTTTCTCACTTTAATTAACAAAATAGAAGCAAAACAACCAATCCAAATTTTTGACTAGTGTGTACTGGCCGGTGTTGATACACAGCGTTGCTAGGATTCCAGTCAAATGCAGAGGAACTCATTAATGTAGTTTGCCAATTTTATTTTCCTGTGGTTTGTGTTCTCTTAGTACCTCTTTACCCTCCTTTCTGAGGAACCAATTATCTCTTTTTTGTGCATAAACCTGTTTCATTGGGGTGGGAATAACTCTGGCCATATTTCCTACCAAACAGAGAATTCAATCAATAAAGAAGGAAAACAGGCTGGGTGCAGTGGCTCATGCCTATAATCCCAGCACTTTGGAAGGCTGACGCGAGAGGATAGCTCCAGGCCAGAAGTTCCAGAAGGAGAACAGAACCAAGACATGCATAGCTTCTTCCACAGCCCTGTTGTGTCTCTGTGATTCTAGACTTAGTCTTCTTGGGCCTTCCTTTCCCCCATCAGGCCTTAATCTCTGCTGGCAGCTTCATTTTCTGTTTCCAGTTGGAGTTTATGCTACATTTAAAAATTCATCTGTAATTATTTAACAGAGATCCTCAGGTTCTTTCTATTCTTTCTTCAGTGTTCTTCCTTTTGTCTTCTTCAGCTCAAAGGACCTGTTTGCCTTTCTGTGGTGCCTGGAAATCTTGTCTTCAAGCAACTATTGGGCTGAGTTGGTGCGGGGAGCAGCGGAGGCTAAGGACGACATTAATCACTCATCACATCTTTTCAAACAGTCCACACAAGATGGGGCATTTTTTCCCCATCCTCACCTGTCTGTGAAAACCCCTCTGTTTAATCAGAGTAGGGAGGCCAAACCGTGCAATAAAGCCCATGTTTCCTGATATAAATCTGCTCAGAAATATTAATCACTTTGAAAATCTTTCCTGGAGAACAGACATTTCCCCTTGGCTAGAATATTTGCTTTCATCCTGAAGAGGCAGATATGTCATGGCATTAGGGATGTCAGGTGAAATACAGGACACGGGGCATGCTTGTACTAAAAAGTTATTCATTGTTTACCTGAAATTCACATTTTCCTGGGCATCCTGTATTTTCATTTGCTAAATCTGGCAACCTTACATGGAATCAAAGAATTTTAGCACCCAGACTAACTGGTTAATTTTATAGATTCAGTATCTAGGGTCCAGAAAAGTCCAAAGTTACATAATTAGTTCTGGCAGAGCCAAGACTTGAATCCAAGGCTCGTCTTCTTTTCTAAATCGCTCCACTTCCCAGTGCAATTTTGATGCCAGGGAAACCTAGAGAAATAAAAGGAAACTTTTTTTTTTTTTTTTTAGAAAAATGACCTCATTCCCAACAGTTAGTTTGTCTATCCTTTCCCAGATAGAGACATGGCCTAAGAGAGGGAAAAGGTGGGTGTGAGTGAGTCCCCACTTCCCAGCCCTCCAATTATGGCCGCTGCTGCCCTTTACGTCTGGTAATCGCCGCTGCCCACCCTTGCTGGACACGTGCTTCCCGTTATTCCTTCAGCAGCAGGGATGGATTTGCATTGGTCAGGCCTTCCCTTCACTCTTGTCTTCAGTCCAGGAAGGGTGCCCACATGAAGACTATCCTGAGTTAGAGTATCATCTAAAAAGACTGTGCTGTTTGTTGATCAGTCTTGATCGAGGACACAGCCCAGTGCTCGGCCCATGGCAAGTGATTAGTAAATGCTAATGAATAATAGAATAAAGCAAAGTCAACTAGTGCAAACAGGTATCGTGTGACTCAAATGAACACTGTCCTGGAAACAACTTTGTGACTGACTAGAGGAAAGGTGAGTCTTTGTCTCACCTGTGACATTTCATGTATGCTGGGACATCCCCCAGTGTGAGAACTAACATAAAAAACTTTTACGTGTCTTGCTTGGAGGAGATAGAAACAATTGAGTGAGTCTGCTGGTTCTTTCTTTCTTCCCAAATTAAGGATCTTCTCTCCTTACATTTTGTTTTCTGTCACTATGAGAAGTGTTGTTGCTATTTGTTTTTATTTTCTGAGTTGGAGTCTCACTCTATCACCCAGGATGGAGTGCAGTGGCACAATCACGGCCCACTGCAGCCTTGACCTCCTAGGCTCAGGCAATCCTTCTGCCTCAGCCTCCTGAGTAGTTGGGATTAAAGGCATGTACCACCATGCCTGGCTAATTATTTTGAGTTTTTGTACAGAAAAAACTCAAAATAAATAGGTCTCACTATGTGACCTAGGCTGCTCTGGAACTCCTGTGCTCAAGCAATCCTCTCACCTTGGGGCTGGCCTCCTAAAATGCCTATAAGGCATGGGCTACTGTGCCCAATCATTTTGTTTGTTTGTTTGTATTAATCTTCATAGTCACCAATGTCTCTTTTTGCTCTAATATCCTGTTATTTTGTCTAGAATATTAACATTCATATGCATCAATACACCTTCAAAAATTATTTCTCCCTTCAACAAAAAATCCAAGAAATCAGAGACAGGCATGTACAGAACTCATAAATATGTGATATCATTAATGTCAACTTTTAAGCTTCCATTGATTTTGTTGGACTAAGATAATTGTGAAGGAGGGGAATAGACAGAGATGTGCTAATCCTTTTTTTTTCTTTTTAGACAGGATTTCTCTCTGTCACCCAGGCTAGAGTACAGTGGCATGATCACAGATCACCACAGCCTCTAATTCTTTGGCTCAAGTGATCCTTCTGCCTCAGCCTCCTAGGTAGCTGGAATTTTAGCACCCAGACTAACTTCTTTTTTTATTTTTTTGTAGAGTCAAATTATCGCTATGTTGTTCAGGCTTATCTCAAACTCCTGGCCTCAAGTAATCCTTTAGCCTCAGGCTCCCAAAGTACTGGCTTTATGGGCATAAGCCTCCATGCCCGCCCTGAGCCATACTCATCTTTTATGAAAGACTAGCATTACATCTCCACAGAAATGGGGTCATTGGGTGACATCGTCAGCTATAAGAGGATAAAAGTGACTTTATCCAGGGACGTTCTATCAGGAGAGAATTACCTACCTTCTCCCTAACATGTCATTCCAAAGCAAGATTCACTTCTTCCCCATGAACCAGGGAAAGGCATGTGGTGAGCACGTGGCCACCATACTGCAGAATGCCTAGTTTGGTAGGGAGCCTCGTGAAATAGAACTGAACTGCAATGTCACACACTGGCACAGTTGTGTTAGAATATTCAGGAATTATTTTAGACATCAAAGAAATGAAAAGCCTTAAATTATAAGGCAACTAAACCAGCTGTAGAAATGTGGACCAGGATTTTTCTTAAACTTTTATAATAGTAATGATTGTTTATGCTAAGTTTGATGACAACTTATGCAGATTTAATGTTTCAAAACTATGCCTTTTCTCTTCCCAGATTATTTTTTAGAACTCTGGGGCTAAAATTTAGTCACACATGCACACCTCTCTCCTCCCCTTCCTGAACTCTACAGTTCGTGACAGAGACTTAAAGCCAGAAAAGATTATGAGTGTCCTCTTCCAAATATTATACCCAGATTTATATTACAGTGTTAATTTAGTTTTCCTTTTAATATACTTTAAAAATACTAAGTGAGAGACAAATAATTCCTGAGCATCAGTAGACATCCTTTAAGGGAAATAAGATCCACATATGTAGAGGATAGTTTGATACTATTATTGAAATCACACTGGACTAAGTACAGGAGAACTGGGTTTCAGAACTGACACTGCCATCAACTAGTTGAGTGACCTTTTTGGCAGACTCTTGAACTCTCTGGCTTCAATTTCTCTGTCTACAAAATTAGTGGGTTGACTAAATGGATTCTAAATTTAGCCTTTGACATTTGGTGATTTTACAACTGAAATAGCTTAACCATTTTTTATTAGATTCTGATTGATTTAGATAACAAAAGCAAAAACATTATCATCTGAAGGTATACTTTTCACCCTAGAATGTTTTGGTCTGCTTTTAAATTATAAAGGTTCTCCTGCCTCTCCTTGTCACCTCTCATTGTCATGGATTTTGTTTCTCATTTTATGTGGATTGAATGTCTGTCAGTTTTGAAATTACCATCCTGCCTGTGTTTTCTAGTCATGTTGCTTTCTGCTTGGCTTTTGTATTTTAGTGGCCTTGTTATATTTGTATTGGGAGTTTTGGTCTCTTACTCAGTTGGAGAGTGGACCTAGACTTCTTGTTATGTAAACTGTTGATGTGTTTACACGATTAGCAACAATAAAAAATAAAAATATCAGAAAAAGCAGAGAAATAGTCATCCATCCATTCCCTATCCTGGTCAGAAGAGAGTAATAATCATTTTGCTCAAGGTATGTTTTTCCTCTACTTCCATCTGCTTCTGTAAACCTTTTTCTTTCCTGTCAGGAACCGACCTAAGTTCTAGCTTTCCTATGAGTCTACTCATGAATCTTCACCTCCCTCCTGTTATCTCTTTCCCTTGAATTCCTCTGGTCTCCTACCATCTCCAGAAAATCTGGCATCTATATCAAAGCAACAGGTTATTACCCTCTCAGAGTAACTAGAAAACAAGCTAAAATGAATAAAGAGACCACATGAGACAGTGACAATTTGAAGGAAGACTATGCAAATGGGTGTCTGAAGACATTTCAGAATATCAATGTCCTAGGCAAGGCCTCTCAAAAGGTATAAGTGAAACGCACCTGTAAATAGAAAGACAAAATCCACTAACTGAGCTATAGTTTTGATCCTCAACCAATGTGCCAATTGCTTTGATCCACTTTTGGTTCTGTGATGTCAGTGACACCAGGTCTGCCCCTTGCTTTCTTTCTGACTAATCTTGTTATCACATCAACTAGTTGAGTAACCTTTTGGCTGACTCTTTTTCTTTTTTTTAATTGGAGTCTCACTCTGTTGCCCAGGCTAGAGTGCAGTGGCGTGCTCATGGCCACAGCAGCCTTGACCTGCTGGGCTCAGGTGATGCTTCCACCTCAGTCTTCCAAGTAGCTGGAACTATAGGCATGCGCCACCATGCCCAGCTTAATTTTTTAAATTTATTGTAGTAATGTGGTTTCACCAAGTTGCCCGGGCTATTCTCAAACCCGTGTGCTCAGACAATCCTCTCACCTCAGCTTCCCAAAGTGCTGGGATTATAGGTGTGAGCCACCACGCCCAACTAGCAGACTCTTAAACTCCCTAGGCTTCCACTTCCGGTCTATAAAATTAGTGGGTTGACCGGATGGATTCTGAGCTCAGCATGGACCTATGGATCAGCTTTGCTTTTTTCCTAGGTTTCTGCTTCAAGCACATGATTTCTTATTTGATAAGTTACAACCTAAATATCAGATCTCAATATCTATTTTATCATTGTTTTCTGCTTTTTATTATGTGGTACTTGTGTAGCCCACATAATATTGCCAAATAAGTGATTAATGAGACACTTTTGAACCTGGAGGATGGTGGTGGGAGAACAAGGGGGACAGGTTAGATGTTAACAGGACGTGTCATGGTGCTGCGTTATGTGAAATTTGTTTTTCATTTCAGTTCAGATGCCAAGAAGAAAGTGACTTTATGAGCTAAAGAGATTTTAAAATGTTCCTCCAACTGCTCCAAAATATAGTGTGTCAATTGTGAGAGGATATGCACCCTCGAAAGGATAAACAACTCCTAAGTGTTTGGGTTGAGGAGACATTTTCTAAATATTCAAGGTGTTCTTGAAACAGAGTCTCAATGGCCCAATAAGCTTAGGAAATGATGGAAACTATGTCCATCACTATTTGAGATTTTTCTTGCATATATATTAAAGATCAGAGAATTCTGGCAGTAAAGAAATTGTTTAATTTTGTCTGAAATCCCAACATATCCCAAAATATACATTTTGAAAAATGTTAGATTAGAAGGTCAAAATATTTTAGAGTGCAAACATATTAATAAAGCAAGTAATATCTGATAAATGCAATAAAGACTCAACTTTGATCAAATATGTAAGCAAAATCTCAGGATATATCCTCAGGTATGGGCTGAATGACTTATTATCATTCTGTCAAAGGCCCAGGTAGATTATAACAGAAGACCACAGCCAGAACTTTATATTTGCTCCAAAAAAGTTGAGGACGCACTTTCTGAAGCACTGGAACAAATGCTTTTACAATCTGTTTGTGTCAAAATTTTCCAGGGTGCCTTGGCCTCACTCCAGATCTAACAATTCTGAATATCTGTGTATAGGGACTCAAGAACAGCATTTTTGACAAATCCTGCACTTGTTCTAATGTATAGTTATGTTCGAAAACCATTGGTCAAGACAATAGCAGAGTGCCATTCAATGAATAAATTGCCAAGCAGTCTGCCAAAGTCACTTTGAAGACAACTGAAATAAAGTTTCAAGTGGTGGTTACCTGTGTAGGTTAGTCTGAAAATGTTGTTTTAATGCATAATTGATTGCACTAAAGAAGAATATATACTAATGATGATGGCAGAAAGATCATTAGCCCCCCCATACTTAATTAGAATGGACCCACATGGGCACTCTGAATCACAAACATTGATTCTGCTCAAACATAGTTGAAATTTGGTGACTTATAGATCGTGGTAGAATTAGAGAGGTGGAAATTTTTCTTACTCTAAGGAAAATCATTCTGATTATTTGGTAATGGTAAGGTTAATACAGATTATGAGGAGAGACTAGAAACCCAAATTGGTTATCTTTCACTTTATTCCTACTTTCTTCATAGCTTTACCCTCAATGCAACACACACACACACACACACACACACACACACACACACACACACACATTTTTATGTGCAAACTTTAGGGTAATAAAGAACAGTAACTTTTTGGTTTAGGAACACTTGACATTGTTCACTTCTGGAATGAAATTGTGTATACTGCCTTATGGAAACTGTAATCATGACTCATGCAAAGGGATCTATCTAGGATATTTGGTGAGAGAAGGAAAACAAATTGCTCTGCAACACAGAGCACCTTTATTATGTTTCCCAATGTTCCAAAACACTAGAGTGATTCCAGCGTTGCACTTTGGAACTTGAAGACAATGTGAAATGTATTATCTGGGTTATTTAATTTTTGTGCTGGATGGGTCAAGTATGCTATTTGAATGTGTCATTTTGCCCTTCTTGAAAGCATTGCAACAATGGGTTTTAAGCATCTTAGCAATATCTGCAGGAAACAGTCTGTTACATGGCAAGAATGGTGCCATCTTGAAGTGAAACCACCATGATGACCAATGTTTGACTCCTGCATACCAAAGTGCTCTGCGGCAAGGTCTTTAAATAAAGCCTTTAGCACAGAGGACTCCATATAAAGATGCTTATCTAACCTCCCCAGTGGTCACAAGTTTCAGCAAGAAAGTCTGAGATGCGACCCGTTGCACTTGTCTCTACTCTAAAAGGTTGCCTTATAAAGGACATTTTCTTGAGGGTAAATGTGGGGATTTACCATTTCACAGTCACCCAAGACCTCGCTACTCTTTATAAGTCTCTATTAAATATTTCTCTATGAGAAACTATTTGCCAGCCTCTTTCTTTGGCCTCTCAGCTCAGCTCCCTTGGACTTTGCAGGTAGGTTTGCATATACCTACTTGCTGCAGAAAAATGTCCTATTCCAGTATACACGTACTTTCGGGTTTACAGGTAATCTGTTACTGAAATTTGAACCCCGTTCTGACTCCAACGTCCATGGTCTTTGACTCTACCACACCACCTTCAAGAAATGAATAAACTGTGGTCACTGACCAGTAGATTCTCATCTAACATGGGAGGCAGGTATATAAACAAATGATTGCTGCAAAAAATTTAATGGAAAACTAAGGAAGGTGATGCTAACTCTACCTGGGAAAGTATCACATAGGAGGGGCTGTTTCTGGTGAGTGTTGTCACCAGAGAAGATAAGCAGAGTGACTTCCCTGTGTTCAGTAACATGCTTTCACTCATAGTTTAAACAATTAACATCCAGCCGGATGCAGTGGCTCACGACTGTAATCCTAACACTTTGGGAGGTGGAGGCAGGAGGATTGACTGAGTCCAGGGGTTCGAGACCAGCCTGGGCAACTTGGCGAGACTTCATTTCTACAATAAATCAGAAAATTAGCCAGGCACAGTGGAGAGTGCCTGTGGTTCCAGCTTCTTGGAAGGCTGAGATAGAAAGATCACCTGAACCTAGCAGGTTAAGGCTACGGTGGCTGTGAGAATGCCACTGTACTCCAGCCTGGATCAAAGAGTAAGACTCCAACTCAAAAGCAAAAAACAAAACAAAACAAAACAAAAACAATGAACATCTTCACCCTTCTTTCATAGCCATTCCTGGTGTTACCAATCCCTCATGCTTTCCTAAAGATTTTCCTGTTCCTGTTCCTTTGCTTACTCTATATAACAATTAGTTTTTGTTTATGCTTTTTCTCTATATTTAGAGCTCTTTGACCAAAGGGCTATGACTTATTTGTGTGCCTAGCACAGTGTCTAACAAAGATTATGCATTAACAAATATCTGTTGAGGATTGGGTGATAGAGATTTCTAGACTAAGAAAATAGGATGTGTAGAGGACTTGTGAGGGATGAAACACAGCATGTTTAAAGAAGTGAAAGAGAAGATGGGAATGACTATCTCTTAGGCAGTATCCGTGGTGGTGGCAATGTTCAGATTATAAGGAGAGACTAGAAACCCAAATTCGTTATCTTTAACTTTATTCCTACTTTCTTCATAGTTTTACCCTCAATGCAACACATTATCTATCCGTGGTGGTGGCAATGTACAGATTATGAGGAGAGAATGTTCAGGAAGGGAATGCTGCGGGGGATATAGTAAAGAGAGATGAAACTGGAACTGGTTGGGATTCGATCATTAGAACCTTTAAAAAAGTGTTAAAATTTTTGGTCTTCATCCTAAGAACAACGAGATGTCATTGGGACAGAGGGTACATGGGTAACATGTTGAAAATTTCACTTGTGTTCTCCTGAGGGGAAGACGCTGGGGACAAGCATAGCAAGAGAAAAGGCAGGGAGACCCTGAAGGAGATTCATGGCCATCCAAATACTAGATGTGGCTTTTAGTAAACGTTCAAAGAAGTGCCCCTTTTCAGGAATATCCACAGAAAAGTCATAGTAGAACAAAACTACTTACCTAATCCTTTTAGAATTTTCTTTTCTGGTTTTTGCTCTTTATTGCTGACAGTCTCTTTGACTGTGGATGGCTCTCCAGAAGCAATGGGTTCTCTCTCAGACTGTTCCATTGTTTCTTCACAGTCCCCATCCTCATTGTCAGGTGATTCTGCATTCTCAGTCTGCTCCTTGGCCCTGACAGGGTCCTCTTTCCCTGCTGTGCTGGTAGCAGACCCGTACGTGTTTATGATGTCTTCCAATTGTCGATTCAACTCTTCAGAAATATCGGAGTGCCGACTTGCCTCTTTATCTGGTGCTTGGAGTGAGGTTGAGGAATCCTGGCCATTTTGCTTCTCCAGGCCATTTTGACTGGGTGATGATGAGCTGTCCCCTGGGAGTGTTGATTGCTGTTCTGCTGAGAGCTGCTCAGAGTGACTGGTCTCCATACTGGAAGTGGTATCTAGTGGGAAAAACAGTTTATGTAGCTAACCCAGTTACATATTAATGATAAGAATATTCCCAAAGTGAATATCAGCTAACTATGGTTTCTAACATATAATGAATATATTTTCACAAACCATTGATGTTATAGCTGGCAAGGTAGGAAGAGTAGAAAACCATTTTTCCAAATCAAGTCATACCACTGGCATATTTTTGGTTTTAATCTTCAATTTTCAGTAACATCCTTTATTATTAACATTAAGAAAGTAATTCATGCTACTTTTGGGGAGACCATATTTTTCATTTTGCTTAGACTAGCCAATTTGTGTTATCATTTTCTTATATAATTCTACATAGATTCACAATCATGGGAGGTACATGAATATATACATTTAACATATTTAAATTTAAAATGGTGTTAGTTTTCTTTCGAGTTAGAATATTGAATAGTAGAGACACCAAACTTATTAAATGATTTATAACAATAACATTCCTAAACTCTATTTTGACCCACAAATCAAGATTTGATTAGTATGAATACTTTGATGTAAATACATTATTATATTGGATATAGGAAGTATTTCTTGCTTTTCTGGTATTTATTTTTCCCACATGAACAACATATAATTATCAATCAACAGAACACTTTTTCTGAGCTTCAAACTAGCATCATTTATGGAATAAGACAGGGAATGAGGGAGGGTATAAATAAATCAACTAGAAAGGAAACATGGTTATGCTTATAACAATTCCTTAAATTTCTGTAGAACTCTTTTATTCCAAAATAAAAATGGACTTTTCAAAAGGAAAAACCATATTATAACTTTCTCTTCTGAGTCAAGAAACTCTAGGAAAATGTAATAATTTTTAAGAAATGATGTTTCACAAACAAGGAGGAGATGAACTAGGGAAATAATTCAGCTATGATACAGGCTCTTAGGAAAGGCTGAAGGGTGCGCTGAGCCAGAGATCCCAGATTCCTGGCTATTTCCATTTCTAAGATTGCAATAGATGTGGCTTAGGCCTTTACGTTATGGTACATTTTATTTGTAAATAATAGTGAGTGGAGATGCTGCTAATTAACTGCATAAAAATATGGCAACATCCTCATAATTCACAGGTTTTGCTGTTGTGGTAGCGTGAAAGTGAAAACAAAAATGTACTGTTCTACCAAATGCACGGCTTCCTCCTCCTGCTCTCAGGGCAGTAGATATCAAATGCTTGGACGTCAACAAAAACAGAAAATTCAACAGAAAATCCACCAAGCACTCATAACTTAGAGGAAGTACTTTTTCCTTTCCCCAATTTGAATCCACCAACTTGATTATCAAATAATGCAGCAAACAGTTTCATGGTCTTCATCACTGGAATTTCTTTATGCTGACCTCCACTTGTTGGGTGCACCCATCTATTTATAACTCCTGCTTCCCCTGAACTCAGAGAAAGACACATGGCATCTGCTGTCCAGTCAGAAGTTATTTTAAGCTATTCTGAAACAAGTCATGGCATTTAGCACTTCATCCTTGAAACTCAGGAGAATAATTTATCAATCAAATTGAAAACAGTAAACATTTGCTGATTTAAATCCATATGTGGGTTATGAGTGTTGGGGATACAAAGAAACAAAATCTAAAGTAAGTCAAACTTCAAAACAGTTAATTAAAAAGCAGCTGTTTAGAGGCGTTTACTGTGGTTAGTCTACATGCAAGTGTTTTGTTTTTATTTGATTTATTTTTCATCAGATACCACAATCATTGATTTAAAAAAAAAATACTTAATCCATGGATATTCTTTGAATTCCTGTAGCACATTTACTTTAAAACAGAGTAACTAAGTCATTGTAAACCCTAGGACAACTCAATACCTAAAGAGACTCCAGAGAAATCGACAAGAGGATTAAAAAGAGTCAAAGAACTTGGCTAATTTTGAAGAGTCCTTTTATATTCATTAATTTTACGACAAAAAAATTATTTTATCTTAATGTAAACTTTACTCCCTTATCTTCCCCTCCCCTGAGAGAAGATCTTTCACTCCTGTTGGCTGTCTCAGAGGACTGTCACCACACGCATCCCTTCCTGAGCAACACATTTTAATTATAAATACAGTGGAAAGTTCTCCAGGAGTTCATTGGCAATTTCTAAGTTGCAAGCTTCAAACACCACAAACCGCACCCTACATCTTCTCACAGGGCTCGGGGGAGTGTTTGTCATACTTACCAGAAGGCAAGGAGTAAGCAAGAAGAGAGAGGAGAGGAAAGTGGCAGCAAAAAGCAAGTCAGAGCAGCAGCAACAGCAGGGGAAGGCCGGCTGGCTGTGTTCTTACACGGGAGAGAGAAACCCAATACACACACACACACACACACACACACACACACACACACACACACGCCACAGGCACCGATGGAGCAGCAGACTGGAGAAGGTGGGGGTGGGGAAAGGAACATCGTATGACACAGCAAGAGAGGAATACACCCAAGCTTCACTAGCTGTCGCCAGGGGAAATATCTCAGAAAAGAGAAGCAGCTGGTAGATCTCATCAGACTCTCGATGTTTGGTCCTTTCAAAAATTTGAACTCTGAATACACAGCCCCTTTTGTGAATGCAATCTTTCACCATGGTTGTTCTTTTGGGCAGAGATCAGTGTTTCTTACTTCTTGGTTTATCTCCAGTGTGGTTGATGATTCATTTCTTTTTTTTTCCTCCTTGTGTGAGCCTCATTAGTGTCAGGTTTCTTATAGGAATCATGGAAAAAGACAAACAATGGCAGGAGAACGGGGGTGGTAGAACCACTTAAAATCTGATGTCATTGTTTGGTTTGTTTGCAATAAAATTGTAGATGGTTATTTTGGAACTGGGTTGCGTGTAATCCTTCGTGTGCATGGTAATTGGCGTGAACTCGGAGCACAGTCTTCCTCAGGTAACTGTGTCCACAGCTCCAACAAGCCCCGAGGGAAGCAATCTGCTTTTTCTTTTAGTTGGAGGCTTTCCCACCTTCCACAGCAGCTTTTCTACCCTTTTCAAATGCTCACCATGCTCCTTGATCCTCCTCAGGAAAAGAACCTCCTTCTCATTCACCATGAAAATGCCTGTCTTAACTTACATCCATTCCCCTTTTCTGTCTGTGTCTAGAGAATGAGTTTCCTTCATACTTCCAAAGCAGATCCCTCTCTAGGGGATGGGTTGGCATCATGGCAACCGCTTTGGTAAGCAGAATAATGCCACTCAAAAGATGTCCTTGTCCTATCCCTGGAGCCTTTGAATGTCTTACTTTCCATGGCAAAGGGACTCTGCAGATGTGACTAAGTTAAGGATATCGAGATAGGGAGATTATCTTGGGTTATCTGGGTGGACCCAATTAATCAAAAGGGTTTTTATAAGTGAGAGAGGGAGTCAGGAGGGTCAGAGGCAGAAAAGGTGATTTGATGGCTGAAGAACAGGTCAGAGTGATATGGGCCCATGAGCCAAGGAATGCAGGAAGCCTCTAGAAGCTGGGAGAGGCAAGGAAATGGATTCTGCTTGAGAGTGTCTGGAGGAATGTCATTTTCTTGACATGTTGATTTTAGTCCAGTAAAACTCATTTTTGGATTTCTGACCTGCCAAACTATAAAATAATGAGTTTGTGTCATTTTTAAGCCACTAAACTTGTGGCAAATTGTTAGAGGAGCAAAAGGAAACTAAAATATCCCACCCCCAAACTTTTTCCTACTGCTTCCTCTGAGTTAAGGAGAGGCATAAATTATATATACGTGAATGCACCCAGCAAGTAGAGATCAGGATTTTAAAAGTTATATTGATGAAAGCAATGAAGTCATTTACTTACTACGACATTTGATAATAAAGTTGGTGAATTAAAAATGACGAGAGAAAAAAGGACTTTACTTATAAGTTGATGAGTACTTTATAAGTCTCACAAATAGGGTGGCATTCCGTCCTGGATTGTGGCAAACTGACCCAGTCAGAGCTCTCAGTAAAAACAAATAGGCCAGTGCCTCTCAAATTTGAGTAATGTGCAGATTCTCTTAACAGAGTAACTTAAATAATTTTGAAATTATTCAAAGGATTATATTATTGCTTATACCAATATGTACTAACATGAAAATAGGGATAAACTTCTTATGCTCACAGCAATTATACAGCATAAATTTAACTATACAGAGGGTGCCCCAAAAATACACATTTTAAGAAAGGAAAAAACTGTATTAAAATTGTAATACTCAATACATACTAATAACAAAAGTTGAATACGAGTCACATTTGACTTCTGCAATTACACGAGGTGCTCAAAGTGGTGGTGACCATCAGTATCCAGACACCTCTGTGTGAGTCCTCCCGGATCTTCCTTTGTGCACACCCCACGTACAGCCGTGCATCTCAAACTTAACACAAATGTATGCAATTGTTAGGCGTGTTGGAGGTGCTGTTGCATACTCGCACCTCCATTGCCGTTGTACTTTCATAACGTTCTTGAATTTCGAATACCACTTCACTATGGCCTTGCGTTCCTCAAACGACAACTGTGCTTCCGCCCTGCCTGTGGCATGGTGATGCCCTGCCTGTGGCATGGTGATGCTAGCATTCACTTGATTAATGCCGTCTTTTGAGCGAACATCATACTACACATTGCTACTATAAGTCAATTCGACTTCGAAGAGTACTACATAGATAACATCTCTTAAAATGTGCATACATTTTTTGGCACCCCAGCATTATTTAAAATCCTACAAAAACCAATAAGCACAATTCAAATGAACAGCACTGCATTTATGTGGTAGATAATGTTTTACTGAACCTAAATTGCTACTTGCAACATGAATATGGTATTAACTGCCAAGTGTTTTTAGTTCATGGTTTTCTTTTACAATGTGCTTTGGGAAGTGACTCATTTTTCTCAACACATGATCCACTCAAAGTTTTACATAATTTTCATTCATATGGCCTGCTATGATTTCATCTGGACTTCATTTGATACCGATGCATCATTTATTGCTTGCTGTGGTCTGAATGTTTGTGATCCCCCAAAATTCATATGTTGGTATTAGGTGATAATATTAGGAAGTGAGGCCATTGGGAGGTGGATTAGGTTATAAGGATAGAGCCCTCATAAATGGAATTAGTGCCCCTATAAAAGAGATCTGAGGCTGGATGTGGGAGCTCACACCTATAATCCCAGCACTTTGGGAAGCCGAGGAGAAAGGTTTTCCTGAGCCCACAGGTTTGAGACCAGCCTGGGCAACTTGGCAAGACCTCATCTCTACAATCAATCAACAAAAATGAGCTGAGCATGGTGGCTCATGCCTGTAGTTCCAGCTACTTGGAAGGCTGAGGCAGAAGGATCGCCTGAGCCCACCAGGTAGAGGCTGCAGTGGCCATGAGCATGCCACTGCACTCAAGCCTGGGTGATAGAGTGAGACTCTGACTCAAAAAAAGAGAGCTCTGGGAGAAACGCCTTGCCCTTTCTACCATGTGATGTTTCAGTGAGAAGATGGCTTTAATGAGAAAGTGGGCCCTCATCAGACACTGAATCTGCCTACACATTAATCTTGACTTTCCCACCTTTACAACTATGAAAACTAAACTTCCATTGTTTATAAGCCACTCAGTTTTTACGGTATTTTGTTATAGCAGGCTGAACAGACTAAGATACTGTTCTTTTTCACATTCCTGCAATTCTTAAAGTGGTGCTACTTGGCCCTAACTTGAATAGTTACACACTTGATAGTGAAGGCATCAAAGTGACATTTGCTTGGTGGCTACCCTGAGATGATGCAAAATAGGCTTATGCATTTTTAATTATAGTTGAGTTATTGTAAGGAATACATTTTTTTAAAATAACATTTTAGTTTTTATGCAAATATTACAGGAAAAAACTTCAAAAATTTAAACGATACTAAAAAGCATATCCCAATAAACAGTAACCACTTGTCCCCCCTCCTTCCTCCAACCTTATCATGTTTTTTCAAGGTAATTACATTGAACTGTTGTAGATATTGTTTCTGGGACATACTTTGTCATTTGTAAATAAAATGCCTATATTGCTGTCTGCCAACTCATCAGTTTTTGCTGTTACCTATTGTCCTTCCACAATGATAGGTGAAGATTTTTATTATTTACACACCCCTTTCCTCTCTTCATTGTCCCAATGAAATTATATCTCAGTTTAATTTTTAATCTATAAATATATGTTTTCACTATTGAAATGATGTTTACTATTAAACCAGGTAAGGCATTGTGATTATCGTTCCACTCTCATGCAACTTTCTGTTTTTCCTGGAGTTAACAATTACCCTTTCTTTTCATTTACTTAGTACTGAAAATACTCTTTCTTTTCAAACTGCATAAGAGGCCTGTGAACTATTTCTCTATACAGTTTTCCCCAAGGTCAACTCTGTCAGATAATTTATACATTCTAGAATTTTCCTGGAGATATAATCCCCACATAAACACCTTCAGAACTCTGATACCCTCCTCCAGCCTGATCTGGTGCCTTTCTGATCTGTCAAACAGCTGTGGTCCTAGAACTTCCCCTGCTGTCATCCTGGAAATTCCCTTTGCCTCTTTCCTGTTTCCTGGCTCTCGCTCTTCCTCTTTCTTGGTTTACTTCCTCCTTTAGTGGAATATATCCTCTGGTGACTTCCTGAGAAAGCATTTATGGGAGACTTTGTGTGTCTGAAATGTCTTTTTGTTACTTGTATGCTTACTTGATTGATGGCTTGCCTGGATGTTACCTTTTAGTTTAAAAATCATTTCCATCAAAAATTTTGAAGCAGTTTCCCCTTGACTTCAATTTTTCTCATAAAAGTGCAAGGTCATTCTTATTCCTGGCCCTTTGCAAATAATCTCTTACTATTTTTCTCTCTGGAATCTTTTTGGATCTTCTCTTTATCCCTGATCTTCAGAAGTTTCACAGTGATAAAATTTGATGTGGGTCTTTTTGAATTTATTAGTTTGAATGCTTAATGACTTTTTAAGTCTGGAGATCCATGTCTGTAATTTCCTTCCCCTTTCGCCATTGTTCCTCCCTCCCGTCATCCTCTGGGTCTCATATCCCTGAGTCCAGAGCCGTTCTAGTTAAGCTCCTCTTGTGAACAGTCCTCAGGTATCCTGAAGGGGAATTGCTTGTGTCTATTTGGTGGGGGGAGACTGGGGATACTTTGGTCTAACTGTTCTTTCTCCTAACTAAAAACAAACTAACAAGCCAGGCATGGTGGTACTGGTAGCACACCTGTAGTCCCAGCTACTCAGGCGGTTGAGGTGGGAGGATTGCTTGAACCCAGGAGTTAAAGACCATCCTGAGAACATCGTGAGCTCCTGTCTCTTAAAGCAAACAAACAAACAAACAAACAAACAAAGCCAACAGCCATCTATTCATCCTGCTCTTCAATAGCCTCCTGCCTTACTACCACTTTCAAT